CGGTGTTCGGCTGAAGGCCGAACTCGGAGCCCTCGGGAGCCTCCCTCCTGGAGTCCGGAAGGTCGCCTTGAGGCGCCTCCGGGATTGTCTCCCCTCGACCCGGTGCCTCTTGAGACAATACCTCGGCATTGTCCGTAGGGCAAGGGGAGGTGGCGGTCGGAAGTGGATCGCTATCCATATCCGACGAGTCTAAGGAGCCGCCCGACGAAGATACGTCGATACGGGCTTGGGGCGGTCTGCATAATCATATTCGGCATTAGGGGAAGTAGTGCGACAAAGGTATGCTATGAGTTACTCTGGTATCCGAATACTTACGACTTCGCCAGGGGCTTGGCCCTGAGCAGCCACTCGTCTTCGTCTTTGGCGGCGGTGGTGGAGCAGTCCGGAAGGAGAGTCCTTCCCTTCTTGGACCCTTCGCCCCCCCGGGTGGGGCGGCCTTCCTTTTCTTGTCTCCCTCGACTGAAGGGGGGGCATCTTCATCTTCCTCCTCGTCTTCGGGGGAGGAGTGCATCGTGGAGTTATCGGACTATGAGTCCGATACCACCTGGCGCCGGGAACTCTTTCGGGTTCCCTTGGCCTTCTTGGTCTTCTCCGGCACCTTGTAAGGAGCCGGAGTCAGCATCTCCGTTAGGAGAGCATCCGCAGTGTCTTCGGGCAGAGGGGAAGGACAGTTAATCCGCCCTGACGTCTCCACCCAGTCCTGTCGAAGACATGGAGCTCAGACCCCGCACATGGTTAAGCTAGGGGAAATAAATATCCTACCGGATGTATAGAACTCACCGAATGCGCTAGGCGCTTCGTGCTTAGCCCACGGTCCTCGGTAAGAGAAGGAGGGACCTCGGAGCCCTTGAATAGCACCCTCCAGATGTCCTTGTGCGTCGTGTCGAAGAGCTCGCTTAGAGTCTGGTGCCGGGCCGGGTTGAACTCCCATAAGTTAAAATCCCGTTGTTGACACGGGAGGATCCGGCGGAAGAGCATGACCTGGACTATGTTGACAAGCTTGAGCTTCTTGCTTGCCATATTCCGGATACATTTCTAGAGTCTGTCCAGCTCCACCAATGAACCCCAGGACAGGCCCTTCTCTTTCCAGGAGGTGAGCCGCGTGGGGATTCCGGATCGAAACTCGGGGGCCACCACCCAGTTGGTGTCGCGCGGCTCGGTGATGTAGAACCACGCCGATTGCCACCCCTTTATGGTCTCCACGAAGGAGCCTTTAAGCCATGTAACATTGGGCATCTTGCCCACCATGGCTCCGTCGCATTCCGCTTGTTGGTCTCCCACCACCTTCGGCTTGATATTGAAGGTCTTTAATCACAGGCCGAAGTGGGGCCGGATGCGGAGGAAAGCCTCACACACGACGATGAACGCTGAAATGTTGAGGATGAAGTTCGGGGCCAGATCATGGAAGTCCAACCCGTAGTAGAACATGAGACCGCGGACGAATGGATGGAGGGGAAACCCCAGTCCGCGGAGGAAGTGGTGGAGGAAAACTACCCTCTCGCGAGGTTCCGGGGTAGGAACGATCTGCCCCGCAGCGGGCAGCCGATGCGCGATATTCGCGGCTAAGTATCCGGCTCCGTGCAGCTTTTTGATGTGACCCTCCGTGATGGAGGAAGCCATCCACTTGCCTCCCTCTCCGGACATGTTTGGAGAAGGTTGGGGATAAGGATGTGGACTTGGGCGTTAGAGCTCGAGTGCGGAAGAATGGATGAGCAAGGAGGAAGAAGGCGTGGGTAGAAAAAGGTTAAACCTTATCCCCTTATAAGGGCGGTCGAAACTATGCGCCCCCACTAGCCTGCTAACTCGCTTATCCTCCAAGCGCCGTAATTGATGGCGCGGTTGGGTTACCCACGCCCGTATTGATGAGAATCCCGTAATAAGGGGGGCATGATCTCTGCTTTGACAAGACGTGTCAAGAAACTGCCTCGCATTATATGCGGGGCTAGTTAAAGAAAAATGGTTCGAATGATCACCGCGCCATGGCATGATGTCATGTTGCCAAGACGTGTCAGCAGATTAGATTTGTGGAAATATTATTCTCTCTACGGTGGTATGTGGAACTTATTTTGCAGGGTCGGACACTATCCATTTATTCGAACTCTTCTGTGGAGGAGGAACCCGCCTTGCAATGCCGAAGACAATAATGCGCGCCGGACTCATCGTCATTGAAGCCTGGTTCAGGGGCTACTGAGGAAGTCCTGGATTAGGGGGTCTCCGGACAGCCGGACTATATCCTTTGGCCAGACTGTTGGACTATGAAGATACAGGATTGAAGACTTCGTCTCGTGTCCGGATGGGACTCTACTTGGCGTGGAAGGCAAGCTAGGCAGTACGAATATGGATATCTCCTCCTTTGTAATCGACCTTGTGTAACCCTAGCCCCCTCCGGTGTCTATATAAACCGGGGGGTTTTAGTCCATAGCACTGTTCAAGATATTTTCCGATATTCCGATAAATCAGCCAATTTATCGCTTACCAGTGTCTGACCGATAAGATATATCGGAAGATAAATCAACCGATATGACGATAAATCGGCAGATATGCCGATAAACTGGCCGATTTACCACTTATCATAGGTCGACTGATAAGTTCCCGATAAGCGATATCCCCAACATTGGTCTGTAGGACAACATACAATCATACCATAGGCTAGCTTCTAGGGTTTAGCCTCTCCGATCTCGTGGTAGATCAACTCTTGTAATACTCATACCATCAAGAATAAATCAAGCAGGACGTAGGGTTTTACCTCCACCAAGAGGGCCCGAACCTGGGTAAAACATCGTGTTCCCTGCCTCATGTTACCATCCGCCTTGGACGCACAGTTCGGGACCCCCTACCCGAGATCCGCCGGTTTTGACACCGACAACATGCTTGCCATGATTCCTTCTAGTATGTTGCATTTTCGCATTACTAGCTTGCACTACTTGAACACTATGATTGCCTCGCACATGTTGAACAATTGCTCTTTCTATTGTGTTGAGTGCCACTATATTCACTACACCCCATGCACATTATGCTGGGATTGTCTTGCACTTGCAACATGTGTTTAGACACCTCATTATATTTGGTGTTGTGAATGCTTCATATGCATACCATAGACCATTTGTGGAGCGCCTTATGCATGCTTTCTATGAGTTTGAGGTAGATGCTTATTCTCTTGACACACATATTTGCATCGCTACCTCACATCTACATACTTGTTTTCATGATGTCCTTGATTTCATTCAATTTATGTGCTTTCATGCCATGTCACAATCCTTTGTTACACCATATGCTATGCATGATGACGACACTTGTTCGCTGAATCACCACTTGAATGCTTGGTTTTGCACTAATGCTAACCACATTTATTTTTCCAAGTGTTTGTTGTTCGTGCTTCTTTTGAAGGAATCACAAGATGGGGCGACATTGGAGAGTACACATTTGGAACTACAAGACGACGAATGCTTGGTGACCGTCCACTTCTACACGACGCCATCATCTCTTTCCCATGGTGATTTGGATTTCGATCCGAGGTCGGATCTTTCCCAAGGGGGAGGGGATGATGCGGAGCGTCCTACGGACATCACCATGTACACCGTTATAGCAACTTGAGTCCCAAGTGGACCTACCGGAATTAAGGTGAACCCGCTCTTCTTCGGGAATATCATGAATATCCATTGGACTTGCTTGCTACCTCACCAAAGTGCTCTATGTGTCCTTAGATACGAAGACCGACGACCACAAGCTGGTGAGGAACACCCCAAAGGAGTAGGAGAAGCACCACAAGGCCACAAGGAGGAAGGAGTGCAATAAGATCAACTCTGCACCTCCCAGGCGACCCCGTGCGCACGGACTACACAGGGAGCTGGCGCTGGAGCACCCCGTGCGCACAGGCCCATCAGGATGGACGGCTGTGAGCTGCTGTTGGGCCTCCTCTTCGTCCCCTCCATCCACCTTCCTATATATTCCGTACCTAGACCATTTGTGAGGGATAGCAAAGCATTTAGAACACAAAAGAGGGCTTTGCTCATCTTCCTCCTCTAGGAGATCTAGACCTCCTCTTGGAGATCAAGCCCTCCTCTTGGAGAAGATCCACTTGTGGATATCAAGACCCCATCTAGGGAAGGATCCCCATCATAGGATCATCAAGACCTCTCTTCTCATAGGATTGGGATGAACTAGTATCATGTATCTTTTCTTTGTTGTTCTTGGATCATTGTGAACTCTTGTGTGTTGTTGGATCTAGCATATGTGTGATTGGATCTAGTCAATTTGAGTGTTTCCTCTCTCTTGTGTTCATCTTGTTTTTGGGGATTCCCCTCCAATTCGTGAAAGATCCCCACTTAGGGTTCCACCCTACAACAGGTTTGATATCCTGAAATTTCAGATATTCTTTATTTTTTTGGTATTTTCTACGTTTAATATTCGTATAGGGGTGTGGAGCACCCATGAGCTCCTGTGTATTTTGCGATCTAAACGCTCTTATATTAGTTTACGGAGGGAGTACCTAACAGCTAACATAGATAGGTTTAAACGACACGAGCAACTCGATGATAATAACCACGATAATCATTGTTTTCGGAGGAGGACGAGGAGGAAATCTCCACTTAGACCATACGCTTGACAATCTTGAAATCTCAACTTAGATCATGATCAGCCGGCCGACGAGGACCATAAAGGTTCAAGATGTACTACTGAAATATGAACTTTTAATTTGAGGTCAACAGACTCCGAGTACAATATGGTTGACTGTCCAGCCTAGCCCAACCAATCAACCAACAATACGGTTTGCTCCGAAGTCCGAACAATAATCACGAAACCTTTTTTTTTTTGGAGTATCAAATCGCACGGAACTTGGACGCCAAGTTCCCGATCACGATACGAACCGGCGCGCACGAACCCGTGGCCGCCAAGGAAGGGAAGCCCGACGCCGGGGCGTGTCGTGTGTATAAATAGGCCACCGGCACCTGCGGTCTCTCTCGACGCACAGACAGAACCCACGAAGCAAACGAGCGAAGATGCGGCGCGAGGGACGGCAGCGAGGGTGGGTGCGCGTGTACGACCGCTCCCTGGTCGACCCGGAGGGCAAGCGGCGCGCCGTGCACGCCGTCGACGGCCCGGTGGTGGCCAACGGCGGCTTCATCAGGGCGCCCCGGAAGCCGACGAACCAGTCCAAGTCCGGCGGCCTCCGCGAGCTCGGCAGGGACGCCCTCGCGCAAGAGGAGGAGGAGCCGGAGCCGCAGCTCCATCCGCCGCTGGGCGCCGGGTACTCCGGGTACTACTGCACGACGACGTGCCAGTCGCCGTTCAAGTTCGAGGCCGTGCCGTATCAATGGGAGTACGATGCCTTCGCGCCCGAGGAGGTGCAGGCTCCTCGTCCGCCGCCGCCGCCGGCGCGGTTCGGGGGAAGAGCGGCGTGCAAGGGGAGCCGCAAGTTCAGGCACAGCGAGATCAAGATGTACTACCTCGACGCGGCCGAGGATGTCGACGGGCGCCTCGATTATCTCTATGACTTCGATTCATGAAGCGCACGGATGGTCTTCTTTTTTTTTTTTTGAAATTTTCTTCCCCTTTGTTTTGCCCAAGATCAGCAGAAGGAGGTGTAAACTGGATCCCGATGGATGTGTATGCAGTGCAGGCGCTTGCTCCAATGAAGATCATGTTGTTATTGTACTCCCGAGTCCACGAATCTTTAAACGTGTTGATCTCCACTTAAAAGTTCAAATTTTTGTAGTGACAGCCTGAAGCATTATTTTAATTTCGTTCCTGTTAAAGTCCTTTTCATTTTTTCCGCATTCTTTTTGTGAGGAAAATGTTAGTTTCTTGGAAAAATTTAGAACAATTGGCATGAGTGAATAGTCCACCGTCAAATTATTTGTGGGGTATGATTTAACTTCTGTAATTAGAGGTACTGGACTTTGTTGCTTTACTGACGCAGCACGCCCGTTTGGGCCCGCACATGTCCGGACGTCCTTTTTTTAAATTTCGTTTTTATATTTAATTCTTCTTTCCGTTTTCGTTTTTCTACATAAATAATTTGGAAATAAAAACGGTTTGAAAATAAAAAATGAAATGTTTAATAAATCAAAAAATGTTTGCTTATTCAAAAAATGTTCAAAATTTCGAAAACAAATATATGGGAAATAAAAAATGTCGTGATTTTTTAAAAATTTCATGTATTAATTTTTGTTAATGAAATTGAACAAAATTTGGCCAATTAAAAAAATCATGAGTGAAAAAATATCCTAAAAATTCAAAAACTGTTCATGACTTACAAAATAGTTTATACATTCATAAAATGTTCACTGCTTCAAAAAATGACCATGCATTTTAAAAATGTTCGTTAAATCAGAAAAATGTCCCCACTGACATTGCGGATTGGATCGAGCATAGATTTTGTTGTCTTGAATACAGTTAAGCAACATCTGGTGCTCAACAATGCATGAAGTCTCAAGCAGATAAGAAGAGAAACGAGTACAACTTCATTGTTGGAGATCAAGTTTTTCTGAAACTTCAGCCGTATGTGCAGTCGTCAGTTGTCAGTAGAGCCAATCATAAATTATCCCTCAAGTACTATGGACCCTATCTGATCAAAGAAAAGATTGGCAACCTGGCTTACCGGTAGCTCAAACAATGTGTTTCTCCTCCAAGCCAGGTTCAAAAAACTCTTCCTGCTTCCTGGTACTGGAAGTCTCATGCATGTTGTTTAACTGTATGGTACACCTGTCTTCCTGGTCACCGAGTAATCCTGAACAACATGCATGAGACTTACAGTACCAGGAAGCAACGGCGGAGCTATGTTGGGGCCGAGGGGGGCCGTGGCCCCCCCTCCCCCCAGCTTTGGAGAAAACCATGAAGAATTTTTTTTGAAGGGCCAGGATGAGGTGAAAATTAGCCTTTTGACCCCCCAGCTCTTTGTCATTTATGTTTCGCCCCCCCCCAATGGTTTTGGTCTAGCTCCGCCACTGGCAGGAAGACAAGTTCAAAATATGACACTGTATGCTGCTGACGCACTCGGTGATAGGTAACACTACCCAGTAGAGCACATCAAAAGACAGGTGTACGCTCCAGTTGCATGCCAGAGATGAGGTAGAAACTACTCCAGGATTCGATTTCATTGCCATACTGTGATAAACATGAAATGTTAGTGTCGTGGAGTTGACACGGCAGATGTCCTAGAGCAAGGACTTAGTCGTAGGGCCATCGCACTAGGAAGCTTAAAGGGGTTAATCGGGGCAAAGGACACGAGAGAGTTTTATACTAGTTCGGCCCCTTACGATGAAGGTAAAAGCCTACGTCTAGTTGGGATTGCTATTGCTGAGGTTTCGACTTTCAAGAGGCTCAACTCGCCGGCTTGGTTATCGACTTGGTTGTTTCTTGCCCTAAACCGCCACCGGGTCGTCCCCTTATATACATGGGTTGACGCCAGGTGGCTTACAGAGTCCCGGCCGGCTCATAATCGTGTCCGGCTCGGTGACTTTCTTTACATGCCTTTCTGTACAAGTATTTCCTTACATATGGCGGTTTACTTACAATAGCGGGCCTTAAGCCGGCCCCAGGCCTTTGGGCCTTCTATAAAACTTAATAAACTACAAACTTGGATGTTTACTGAGCTTCTTGCGTAACCCGCCATTGAAGCCGACCCGGCCCCTCCTGGGTGGGTCTCAACTGATAGTAATATCCCCAACATTAGGCCCCAGGTTGACTTTGAACTTTGTTCTTTGTCAAACTTCCATTCTTAGCCAAAAAAATCTATCTTCTTATCTTTACTGAAATTTCCTTGTAACCTGCCATGATGTCATCTCCGGATTTTTTGGAAACCTGCTACTACGTCATCTTTTAACGGATCTTTATCTTTAATGCCTTTCCAAACATCGAGGCGCCTGGGTAGCTGGATAACCATGTTTTGGTCTCCTTGTTTCTCGCGCCCACTTATCAGTCTTTTCCTTATAAATAGGCACGACCTAGGTCTTTTCCATTCTCCCCCTTCAGTCGTCTTCTTCCTCTCGCTGCTTCTCTGCCGCTCGAGCTCTGCCACCGCCGCCGCAGATCTTGTCTTCATCGACTCAAGCCGCCGAATCAATCTGATTTGACCCGAAGAAAAACGCAACGAACCCCCGCTGCAACTCTGCATCTGTAAGTCTCTTTCTTCCTCAACATTAGATCCGCATTAGGACCTTCGAGTTCCTTGGTGTTCTTCACTGTTCGTCATGAACTCTTCATAGATTTCATCACTATCGCCATTTCTTGATATTTGAATAGTATAAAACCGATGCGGCAGCTATTTTGCACCTGCTTCAAATGCAAACAAATTCCTTTCCCTGTTTAGAGGCTTTGTTTAGAACTGACGAACTCGTCTGTGCCAGTTTTAGGTCTAGATTTATTTTCCTTTTTGAACCATCTTGATCCAAAATAATAACAACAACTTGTGAAACTTGTTTATCACAGCACTTAGCCAATTCTGACTCAGGCAAACTTTGAATGTCTTTAGTCATGGCGGCTTATCACGCCGGCTCATTTTCCTATATATGTCATTAGCCCTTCCTTAAGCTGCCATTATTCATCTGTACTATCATTTTTTAACCTGTAATCAACCAATAACCTGAACCGGCAAATTACTTTCTTTTCAGCTTGTCCCTTTTTTTCATCATGCCGTCAAAAGCGCCAACAGTCTGCAACTGGGTCCCTTCTACAGTTACTGATGACACCTTGAAAGAATTTGTCACCATTGGATTTTTACCAGAGAAAAATGTTATGTCTTATCGTGCCCCTGACCCGGACGAAGAACGACCTCCGCCCAGAGATGGTGAAGTCATTGTTTTCACTGACCATATGAACCGTGGCTTCTCACTGCCCGGTTCAAAATTCTTCAGGGAGGTCCTTCACTTTTTAAAACTTCATCCTCAGGACATTGGGCCCAATTCCATCTCCAATATTTGCAAGTGCTCTGTGAGGCTTATCTTCAGCAAGAGCCGACTGTAGAACTGTTTAGAGCACCAACGGACTTAGCTTAGAGCTTGGAGGCATCTCAATTCAGCGCCGGCAGAGTGATGTCTTCCCTCTCATAGTTTTACCAAGTCACCCAAAGGACTGGAACCAAACTTGGTTTTACTGTCAGGACATCTCACCTGCCAACGAGAAACCACTGTCGGGTTATCGCCCCGATTGTCTTGACTCTAAGTTCGTACTGCCAGATAAACTTACCGCTGCTGAACGCAAGAAACTGCTTCCCTCTATCAGAAGAATCAACGGTTTGTTGGGGAACGGTTTAACCGGAGTCGATATAACCCGCTGTTGGATCTCATGGCGGATTATTCCCTTAAGCCGTCGTTCAAAACTGATGTGTGAATATGGTGGAGACCCGGATGACTCTCTTCGTCACAGCCCGGTTGAACTCACCGAAGAAGATATTGTTTCAATGTCAAATCTGTTGGTGAATGGAAAATATGAAGACTGCAGCATTGTTGGGTTGAATCCCTTCTGCAAGCTCAACCCGGTTCCAGAAGTAAGTATACTCTGATCTTTTTTCCTTTGTGTTTTTCCCGGCTATTAATATTTAATACTGATCTTTTTTCTTGTCTTTGCAGGCCAATTCTGACTTCTGGAAGGTGAAATATGACCACGAAGCTGCCAAGAAGGCGAAAGCCGCCGCTATGAACACCAAGAAGACGACCCGGAAATCCAAGAAAAAGAAGAAAACTACTGCTGAAGATCTAATGAAGCTTGATGACACGTCTGACTCGGAGGTAGCCCTTGATTCTCTTGGCCATTTTTTATTAATCTTATTGACACTGATCCTTACCAGGATGACACTAGGGCCAGTCAAGCCAGGGAAGCAGAGGTAATTATCATTTCCTCCGACTCAGAGCCCTTACCAAGACACAAAGTTCGACGAGTGATTCGTAAAGTAAGGTTTTCTAACCCCTTAGCTCACTTGGATCCCAACTTTCATTTGAAAAAGCAGCAACATGAAAGCCGCCGTGAAGTTGAGATTGAAGATGAACCGGCTGTCATCCTTCAACAGACCCCTCAGAAACGCTTGAATGAGGTTTATTTATTACTGTCCTTAACTTGTTTTAATGAATCCTGGTCCTTGTATTTATTTTAACTCCTTTCTTTTACCTTTTCAGGAGGTGTCTCGTTCCTCAGACGATTCATCGCAAACACAATTTTCGGCTTTTAAGACTGCTCCTGGGTAATTAGAAATCCTCTTTTCTTCCGGCTTGATCAATTGTATCTTGATGCTGACTACCCTGCAATATTTTTTCCTTAGCGGCCAGGCTAAATCTAAGAAGGCGAAGGCAGCAAAACCGGCAGAAGACCCGCCAGTGCTAGCATCTGACCCGGCTAGGCCGCCCTCTCCATTAACTGACACCCCAGAAGACCCGCCAATTGCCAATGAAGCAAATCCTCCGGAGCCTTCTCTTGATGACGCCACTATCAGTCCTTCTACAACCGGACCGTCAAGCTCAACCGACCCGCCATCTCCACATGCTCCAGATGTTCAATTACTAGGAGCCGCTTT